GGTGAGGAGCAGCAGGGTGAGGAGCAGCAGGGTGAGGAGGAGCAGTGAGGAGGGGCAGGGTGAGGAAGAGGAGGAGCAGGGGGAGGAAGAGGAGGAGCAGGGTGAGGAAGAGGAGGAGCAGGGTGAGGAAGAGGAGGGGCAGGGTCCTTACTGGAGGAGTGAGCTCCAGCAGGTCCTGGATCCGGGTCAGGACGTCCTCGATGAAGGCCGTCATGTGTTTGCTGCAACACAAACAGCATGTGGTCAGTTTGTGCAGAACGTTCTGGGTTCAGGACCGGGTCAGAACCGGGTCAGGACCGGACTCACTGCAGGGTCTTGATGAACCTGGAGAACAGGTACGCCACCCGGCTCCGGACCTTGGGGCTGCTGTGTCTCAGTCCTCTGTGGTCCAGGAACGCCATCTGACAAACACGTGTACAGGTCACATGACCGTCCCAGCTGGCGGGACGACGGGTCGGACTCACCAGAACCGGCTGACGGGTCGGACTCACCAGAACGTTGGGGATGTGCTGCGGCTCCACCATGAAGAACTTGTCGTACCGGACCACGGTCTCGAAGAACTCCAGGGACACGGACGGGTGCTGGTAGTTGCTGACGCCGCAGGACACGAGCTGTGGACGACAGACTGTGAGGGACGGCCCCGAACGACCAGAACCTGAGGGGACACGAGACTCACCGTCCTCATCATGTCCTGCAGGGCGCACGTCTTCGCCGCGTCTCCGGAGAAGTGAGCGCCGTGAGACGCCGGCAGCGCCTCCCCGAGCATGTAGAGCAGCCGGATGGCCACCTCCACCTCCATGAAGGGCGCCGTCTGCCACGCCCTGCGGACAAACGCCATCATCAGGACAAGCCACACCCACTTCCTGCTGGACTGAAGGAGCTGAAGCGTGCGCTCACTGCATGGTGCTGGAGAAGACTCTGCAGACGGCCTCCAGGAGCAGCTCCGGGGACACTTGGGCCAGGCGGTCCAACAGCATCTTCAGCTGCTTCCTGTACTCCACGAACATGGCCTCGTCCTCGCCCTGCAGCAGAGACAGGTCAGGACGTCCCCCCAGACCCTGAGACCAGGTCAGCATGTCCCCCCAGACCCTGAGACCAGGTCAGCATGTCCCCCCAGACCAGGTCAGCATGTCCCCCCAGACCAGGTCAGCATATCTCCCCAGACCCTGAGACCAAGTCAGCATGTCCCTCCCAGACCCTGAGACCAGGTCAGCATGTCCCTCCCAGACCCTGAGACCAGGTCAGCATGACCCCCCCCAACCCTGAACCCACCTCAGAGACAGGATGTCCCCCTCAGACCTGCAGCAGAACCTCACCTCGTTGTCGAAGTTGTATTCGTCGTCGTACGTGAGTTTCTTCATGACGGCGAGCAGGACGGCCTTTTGACACAGAGAGGGCCGTCAACAACGAGGAGGACGTCAACAACGAGGAGGACGTCAACAACG